TACGCAAAATACTGAGGATCCACTGGCCAGACAGCATCAACAATAGCCTAGTGTGGGAGAGAGCAAACCAGATTCCAGTGGAGGAAAAAGTCAGGAAGAAGCTGTGGGAGTGCATAGGACACACATTACGAAAAGCACCTAACTGCGTCACAAGACAAGCCCTCACTCGGAACCCTCAAGGTCAAAGGAAACGAAGAAGACCAAGGAGCACATAATGCCGAGAGAGTGAGACAGACCTGAGAAGAATGAATGAAGTCGGACAGAAGTAGAAAGGAAGACGCAGGACAGATTAGGTTGGAGAAGAATGGTCGGCGGCCTATGCTCCGTCGGGGGGTAACAGGCGTAGGTAAGTAAGTTAGTAATACTCATGGATTATCTATATAATTCTTGTACTTATGTGTTCGTAAAAACACTCATGTAAGACCATTAATGTGTACAGTATTTCAGTAAGATTAACAAGAGTATGTACCACTACTGTTAGTTATACTTGAGGGCTTTATTTAAATGAATAGTTGCAATTTTTGTGGTGTAAAAGACGAAATCAGTATAAGTGTAACAGAACTCCACAAAGCATTTCATAATATCACAATATCCTTTCTATCTTCACTTGTGAAACCCAACATTTTGATGCTGACGATTTACAACTGCTGTCTATGTTAGGTCATAGTTGTCAAAAAGAGGCCAACCCTACTTAGTAATGAAATTAAGTAAATTATATCAAAGACTGGCAATATATGTTTCGGCGTCGTAATCCAATAAGTGTTCATGCTTTAAAACACCAATTAGTGTTTTGGTCATGTTTAGACTCCATACCACTCAGTAAATGACTTGAGAACTGTCAAAAGAAGAAGAAACGTGATTAGTTTATGATGAATACCGTGGAATAACGTCTAACTTTAGTTGGCTGATATGAGCGGATCTACATTTTTCATAAAATGTAAGACATATATTTCTGAATGGAATGAAGTTCATGTTAGAAGAACTAGGTAGTACACACTGGTGTTCTTTCATTTATCACAAGAATATCACTTAGTCCCTTATTCTACCGAGATTTATTCCGTTGTTTTAAATATATTGCCAAGTAAAGCTTCGTGCACTAGGTATCGATACAAGATTGTTGGTTAAGTACTACATGTATAACCGAATATCATCGATTTGTTTGGCGAGTTTTTTAATCAGACTGTAGTGGAAGAGAACACAGGTGGGGCAACCGAATTATATTTAACGAAAATTACAGTTACTCAGTAAAATTGGAAAACCATATCGTAAATCGTTCATTTGCAAAATAACAGTTCGTCATATAGAACTGGACTGTTCCTGTTGCAAAACATCAATCCAATGTCACTGTTCATGCGTTTCATACAAATTCCATTTCCTTTCTTGATCTTCCCCCATCTTCTGCTGCCAGACATTACGTTGACGCGCACGTCATATACTACTTATAAGTAGCTTGCACCACAGCACCACAAGAATTATGTCTAAGCATTTCGCCTTTGAATTAACATCAGACAAGGTCAGCTAATCGTCTGTTTTGTTCCATCGGCAATTATTAGGAATGTGTACGTAGATAATAGCACATACACTTTAAAACTTTCTAATTTCATACAGTCTCATTTAACTTGACATTGTATAAGTATACTTTCTAAGTAAATACAAAGGATGCATTTGACAATCATAAGTATACGTTATTAAGTAGCTTGATATTAGAGGGATTAATCATAGTGGTTCACCGAATCGATTCGGCGTATAACCACACATGCATCATACAAGTGTATTTTGGAAACATACTCTGTATTTAGAGTACGAAATTTTGAAGCGCTTACTGGTTACACCTAATTCTGACATGCAGTTTTGAAAAGTGGTTCCCTGAAGTTCAAGTTATTAGCATTTTATTTAGATTGGATCGTGAAGTGAGAAGAGTCGAATCTAGTACAAAAGGCCAAATGAAAGCTGAGAAGATAACAACACGGCCTATAACGAACAAAATAACTCTAAAGTAGGTAAATATCGATAATTTATACACCTTGGACCATTTATTTTTATTAGAAAACTGGATGATCTTTTCGATTTCAGAGTAAGAATGCACTGTCCAAAAGACATCTGCTCAAATAGTCACAAATGTCATTTTGTTATTACGGGGTTTCATCCACCGTCTACTATGATAACAAGATAGAATGAGACCGGTCTGAGTATCCCAGTTTATACTAACACTGTATTGGATACTCGAATAGTATGCCACACATAAACGAGACCACAATTACAGCAGATACCCTGTTCATGACCGCATAGAGAACCAGAATAATCGGTGGATGATACTTTATTCTACACAATTACAAGCAGTCACTTTCAGTGAGCCCAGAGTAGAAATTATGTAAGAGGAAATGAAACCACAAATTTAATAGCCAGGAGGCTAACTTCATGCTTTTCTTCGCTTTAATGACCAGTCACATTTCCGAAAATATTTGTATTTAATTTCCTGTACTGTCTACAAAGTCACTTAGGAATTTTCATACAAACCAAGAGCGATCTACTACTTACAAACTTAATTTTTTTCGACTATGTAATGATGCAAGAAAGTAGGGCAGCTAGGGATGCTGATTTTACGTGGTAGGCGATTTACTATTATGCTTCGATGCAGTTATCAGTACAAATTTGTTAATAAATCTGAAATCCGCACTTCTGATCTTATCAATTTTCAAACGAGTATGTTTAACCAAAACATTGGAGTCGATAATGATCTGTTAGGTTAGCAAAATAATAACTAAGGTTGTCAGTAGTAATGTAGTGAAGGAGAACACAGGTGAGGGCAACCGAAGTGTATTTAACGAAAATTACAGAGTTACTCAGTAAAATTGGAAAACCATATCGTAAACAGTTAATTTGCAAATCTTCAATCCATTGTTTGACATTTCAATATTCATGCGTTTCATACAAATTCCATTGTATTCCCACTCTTCCTTTCTTGATCTTCCCCTATCTTCTGCTGCCAGACATTACGTTTACACTCGCGTCATATACTACTTATAAGTAGCGCGCACCAGAGTAAGTCGCTGGTAAGACGTTCGATCTTTAGTCAGTAGTTTACAGATTTCAACTCCAGTCCACTTAATTTGGTTTCAACAACCAAGTGACTTCACTAGTCCTCACACTTAGAGTATTGCTATAACCAAAGTATTTACTGATTATCGATCACTGGGCAGTGGACCAATATCGTGTCAGTTTCTTGATAGTACTGATCGAATCCTATCGATTGAGTGGCAATGTGGCCGCTGATCTAACTGACTTTACATTGCGGGCACTATGTTGAGATGTAAAATAGTAGTTGGAGGTAGTTGATAGCAAACCCTGCTCGACCTAGGTTTCTTACTATTTGGCACTTGTCAACAAGGTGTACTTTTGATTGTGAGGGAAGTGATGCCTCCTGGTGGATTCAATCTTTTGTCATCTAGTTTTGCAGTCAGAAAGGTTACCACATTGCCACTTGATCAAAAGATTAGATCTGACCTGGCACACATGAAATTAGTCACTACCGAGTGTTCAATCAATTGAGAATAGACCTCAATCCTACAAGAAGTCGGTCGTGGCCCAGATAGCTCAGTGGTAACATCTCTGAATATGAAGCTGGATAACATGGTATCAAATCTACCAGAGAGCCTCAGTTCCTTCAAAATTACAGGTACAACTTGTTGGTGGGTGTCAAGCAGTATGCGACCAAAGTCAAGCACGGTCGCTTGTCAACTAAATCCAAACATCGCCTAATAACTCAAATGTAACACATTCGAAACCTTACTCTACTAACTTCTAGTTCCCACTATCATTTTGTCTTGATCTTATGCTTTTATTATTTCTGATTGCTGTCGATTACTTTCTCTATTAGATGTGTGCGCATTCTATTTGCAAACAGAGTCGTCGTCCGCTCAACTTTTCTCTTCCAGATTACCTGACACGTCTCTTACACCCCCCCCCTAATACACAAAGCATCTGCTTTCTGGTTAAATGCAAACTTACAAAAGGCTACAGTCAGTCAGTTACAACGTAGAACTTCGTACGTATGTACATCAGTTCAGGTTACCATACCACATTAGCACAGAGACGCTATTGTCAGATCAAATCCCATAGTGGTAGAGATAGTAGAAGTATTAGCAGCAATGGAGAAAATCAGGGTTCAAAGATATTATCCAGGTACAATTCAGTTAAATAGATTTGAGAAGAGAAAAATGAAGGCATTATCGATGCGGGGTGATAAAGAGTTAGTTGTGGAAAGAGAGATCTCAGGGGGTGTAGGAAGGACTTGATTGTGACCAATTCGGTCTCGTGTGCAGTTATGGGTTTGCGGGCGGATATCGCTTACCGGTAGCCCACACCGTGAAATGGTGTTTCCCGATGAACCTCAAAAGGAACATAAGTTAGTGTTGGTCTTAACGACCAGGGAGCGTGACCGCAGAGCCCAACAGACAACTGCTTGAGGCCGGTCACGCATGACCTTTGATGAATTAGCTCCGCTCTTTCTAAAAGGCCTTACCACCGGAGATCCGTGAGGTAAGGTAAGGTGTGACATTTTTAGACTCAACCTTTTCTAACCTCATCCTTCCTTTTGAGAAGGCAGCACCGCCGCAGATGCTTGTTGTCCGAGGGAAACACCTTACTGCTGTCACCCCTCTAAAGTTAACAGTATTACTTCGCTCTCAGACCTTGAGTAGCAGCTTTTGCTCTTACCGTTGTTCTCCAACTGACCTGCCTGGCATGGTAGAACCTACAAGATCATATTTTGCAGATAATATAGCTCAGTTGAGTCATCACGATAGGCAAGCTCGACCACCACGTCAAGGTAGCAGCTACGGTCGGGACCAAAAGCTACATACACAAGTAGACAAATCTTTGCTTGGCAAATAATCTGCATAAACTAATAACTACTCGAATGATATTTTTCTTAAAAACGAAGTTTATCACAAACTTATTCTGATAATTCTTGTTAAATAGAACAAAAAAACAACCAAACATCTTAGTAAATGTACACTTTTATTGTTGAAATCAGATGAAAAATACAAACTACACAGTAAAAAGAATACTATACAAATAACATTAAATCAATAAATGTAAAATATATGAGTGGGGAAAATTGACAATTAAAAATCAATTATTTAAATTTTACACTATTTGATGTTGGAAACATTAATCCATCTGTTGTTAATGGTGAATTAATAAATGGACAGAGACTAGCGAGAATCCAACGTTCGCCTAAATATTGTTTCAGATTATTTAGATAACCTACATTATAAATGGATTGTGTTGGTTGTTGAGGCTGATGATGATGATGATGTAGTGCAAATGGATTTTTTGTTGTACTAGTACAAGTACTACTATGATTATTATTAGTAGTAGTATCTTTATCTTCAAAACTTTTTATACTTGTATTATAATGATCACCATTAAAACTACAATGAAATTGATTGAATGATTTCAATGCACGTTCATACATTGTTTGATTATTGAACATTAAATTCAATTCATACATCATAAATACAAATAATAAACAAGCAATTAATGTTGATAAACTTGTTGTTAAAAATATGATACTTTGTAAAAATGTTAAATAACCAGTTAACCACATAATACCAGGTGGTGCAATCATACATACTAATCGATAATAAATAGACCATGTCATTGGGAAATAATTTGATTGAAATACAAGAGTTAAATTGTAATAACTCATAAAAATACAACCTAACATTCCATATAATAAAGTATTATAAAAATATCTCCAATTAGCATGACCAATACATTGACCTTGAAAAAAAAAAGAATGAAAGACAGAAAATAATAATAATAATAATCACAGAAAATGTACGTTACATAAATAAATCGTTAAACAAAACAGAAGATAGATTATGTTATATGATGTGAGCTAACAAGCCAAAGTAACCATCACTTAGTCCAGTATAGACTGGTAATAAATTGCTAATTAACATGAAAGGATACGAAAATAATTATTATTTGTTTCGTATGAAATACAAAATATGACACTTTGGTGGCTGCGTTGTAGTTCCAAAAAACGTAAACGCAAATACTGCCGCTGCCATGTTTTGGTCTGTCCGCCCCTAACTTTCTTCCAACCTACTCCTACACCACAAAACATAGCTCGTCGAGGCAGTCGGTGGTTCGGCATACGTAACACATGTCCCAACCACCTCAACTGATGAAGTTTCACAACTTCATCTATTGATCTGCCATCCTTACCTAGTACTCGTTTCCTAACGACAGTATTGCTTACTCGGTTGTCCCACGGTATACGAGCAATGCTTCTTAAACATCTACGATCGAATACTAGTAACCTACGAACATCTTCTACTCTAACTGGCCATGTTTCACAGCCATATAGGAGAACGGAGCGAACTGCTGCACAGTACACTTGTCCTTTGATTAGAGAACGGATAGCACGCCTACGCCATAAGTGACGCAGGTTGGCAAAAGCCAATCGAGCTTTCTGTATCCGAGCTGAGATTTCGTCAGTCACCAGACCGTCAGCACTGATGAGACTCCCCAGATAAGTGAAGTGATCAACACGCTCGACTACTTCACTCTCTATCACTAGTTCAGGTGCCAATGCAACCCAGTCTTGAAGCAACATTTTGCATTTCGAGGGGGAAAACCGCATCCCGAACATGCTTGCATGGTTGCTTATTGTAGTCAGAAGACTCTGCATTTTGTCAGCATCTTCACCGAATAGAACTATGTCATCGGCATATTCTAGATCAGTAAGCGACTTTCCTGGTAGAAGGTCAACCCCTGAAAAAGTCAGTCAGTCAGTCAGATGCAACGTAAAACTTTGTACATAAGTACATCAGTTCATGTTGCCATACCACATCAGCACAGAGAAGTAATCGTCAATTCAAATCCAATAGTAGAAGAGGTAGTAAGGGAATTAGGAGTAATCGGAGAGGTTAGGATTAGAAGATATTATTCAAGAAGTATGGTTCAGTGATAAAAGTTTAGAGAGTCGAAACTAGAGGTATTGAAGAATCCAGAAGATTAGGATTTGAGAGAACACAGAGAATAAATGCACCGGCGCCATTGCGAACGATTTTGAGCCATGTCATTCAAGGTCTCTAACCATCGATTATTATCATCTCGCGGACCCAAACCAGGTAGTCGACAATTACCGACATGGCTCAGTCCACTAGTCAATGACTTCATGGATTTCTGCCATGTTTTGGTTTGGCCGCCCCTAACTTTCTTCCAACCTACTCCTACACTACAAAACAAAGTTCGTCGAGGCAGTCGGTGGTTCGGCATACGCAACACATGTCCCAACCACCTCAACTGATGAAGTTTCACAACTTCATCTATTGATCTGCCATCCCTACCTAGTACCGTTAAAACTGGACCACCATCCTTAAACATCTCAGGGGTAAGCCTATCGAGACCTGCCGCTCTACCTCCCCTTAGATTTCCTATAGCTTTCTCAACTTCATGTAAACTGGGAGGACTTAAATCGATTTGCCATTCAGGATGACTGGAGATCGTGGGCAACCGAAGTGTGGCTGAAGGCCAGTTGAACTGATCCCTAAAGTGTTCTGCCCATCGGTCCAATCTCCTAGATTGAGAATGGATAATAATCCCATCCTTTTCCGAGATAGCCTCACTCACATTCGGGTTCTTAATACCAGTATCTTTAATAAGGCGGGAAAGTTGTCTAGTGTTGCCTATCGCCGCTGCCTTTTCCATCGCTTTTGCTTTCGCCACCCACCACTGTTCACAGTCGTTACGCAAGCTTTTTATAAGTCTGCGCCTAAGCTGACTACGCTCTTCATCATGTTCGGAGTCAGGTGGGATGCGTTTTCGAGCATCCATCAGTTCGGTGGATGCGACTGAAATCCACGGCTTCATCCTAGCATTGTGGTTTACCTTGCTAGCAGATACCATTGCTGTTTCCACAGCCTTCTTGATATGATTCCAACCTGCTTCTGGATGGGAATCGCTTGCATGGTTGCTTAACTCTCTTTCTAGTTGCTCCTGAAATATTTTCTTGGTTTGATTATCATTAAGTAAAACCCTAAGAGGCTTCCTTACGGTGTCTTTCCTACGTCCAGCAACCCTCAAACAAATACGTGCTCGCACTAGGGCATGATCTGAATCTAAACATGTGCCCCAGAACGAGCGACAGTCCTCTATCGAACCCCTCCATCGGTGGCTGATGGCGATATGATCTAGTTGCGTCCAACGTTGGGACGACTTCGGGGGTCGCCAGGTCAAAAGATGTTTTTCCTTATGCTTAAAATTAGTGTTTACTAGAAATAGTTGGTTATCTGAGCACAGTTGCAACAGACGGTCGCCATTGTCTGTTCTTTGAGCCGCGAGACCGTAACATCCACCTAGGTGTCTTTCATTTTCACTTAGTCTACCTACTTGAGCATTAAAGTCACCAGCCATTAATACTATATCAGAGCGCTTAACTTTTTGGAGGAGGTCCGAAAGCTTTCTGTAAAACTCATCTTTTACATCATCTGGGCTGAAGTGAGTGGGGGCGTAGGCTGATATGACGAAGAGGCAACGGCGAGTGTCCCTATCTTTCCGAGTCCTTACTGTCCCGTTTAGTCGGACGGCGCACAAGCGACTATCTATTGGGATCCAGTCAAGGAGAGATTGTTCTGCCCTACGACTCAATGCTATACCTACACCGGCGAGGCCCCTAGAAGCAGCATCAGGGCTACCGGATACACGAAGGGTAAATCGAGCTGCTTCTTTATCTTGACATGGTGAGGTCAAGTGAATGATACTACTCGGATCCTGTAGGCGCGTTTCCGAGACGCAGCACACATCGATGGAACGAGATTTAAAAGTTCTAGCTAATGATGCCTGTTGCCCTATTTGACACAAAGTCCGTACATTGAATGCTCCAACATGTAGTTTGGAACGGGGTTTAAGGAGACTAGGAACGACGTTTCGCGAACTCGCATCGTTTGCATTAGCTGTGCACTTTGATAAATGAATGTGAGAAGAGTTAGTCGTGGAGCTAAGAGAGGTATTAGGGAATGTAGGAAGGATTTGATTTTGAACAATTTGGTCTCGTGTGCTGTTGCTGGTATGAGGGCGGTTATCACTTCCCGGCTGCCCACACCGTGGAAGGTTGTTTCTTGACGAACCTGAAAAGTAAGATAGATTAGTGTTGGCCTTGGAGAACTGGCTGCGTGGCCGCAGAGCCCAACGGACAACTGCTTGAGGCCGGTCACGCACGGCCTTTTTATGAGAGGTTTTTTGAGTGTTAGCTCCGCTCTTGAAAGCCCTTAGTGGGCACCCTTACCCAAGGAGACGGAAATCCGTGAGTTAGGGGAGGTGTGACAATTTTAGGGTCGACCTTTTCTAACCCTTCCTTCCTTGTGAGAAGGCAGCATCGCTGCAGATGCTGGTGGTCCGAGGGAAACACCTTACTGCTGTCACACCAGTCTGCAGTCAGCAGTACGACTTCGCCCTCAGACCTTGGGTAGCTGCTTTTAGTCTCATCGTTCTCCAATCGACCTGCCTGGCATGGTAGAACCTCCAGGAACATGTGTTCCAGCCAGTATAGCTCGGTTGGGTCATCACGATAGGCAAGCCCGACCACCACGTCAAGGTAGCAGCTTCGGTCGGGTCTGAATAGTGTGGAGACAATTCAGGAATCTGATCAGTTTTATGTTCCTCGGTAGACATTTGAAGGTACTCAGTATATGAACTTCTGATGAATTACACGAAGTAGAGTTCACTACTATAGTGACCTTCGATCTGACTGCCATATTTCTGTGTCATGAACTAAATCTCCCCTTCAGTTTCCATATATTATACTTAAGTGAAGCGAATGATTGGCAAGGTCGAAGGATGTTTGAGTAACTCGAGAAGAATAGAATAGTTAATTTGTCCAAAGGTTGGAGTAAACCCTGTGGGTTGAACATATTAGTACATACACTACAATACAATTCAGTGATAAACTCAAGCTTTGAAATTTTAAAATAACAACTTTTAAACCGAAAATAGAAGTTGGCAGATAGCGTTAAGTCCAAGAACTAAGTATCCACTAATAGAATTTAGACTGTGATAAATACTGGATGCATCTACAACGAATTTTCATCCGATAAAATTTGTCGTCATCAACATAAAGCCTAACAAAAATGTTCATCATCCCAACCGGACATAGTACATTATTATGGTGAGATTACATAACAGATGAATATCAGAGTTTGAATTAGTGTTAGTGACAGAGAGAAAATTTAGATATTAAAGAATATAGTTCGAAAAGAACAGACGAATTTTAAAGAAGTACATGAAATGAGATTGAAGCTTAATACTTGGGTGAATATGAAGTTATGTAAAGATTATTATTTATTTAAACGGACGGAAATTGGAACAAAGGGGCAGCAAAACATATGAGCGCCATACAAATAACTAATTTGTCTGTGGGATAGGATACGACCCGGGTTGCTAAATCAAAGGTGGTTTTTCTAGGAGGCCACACCCGAGGTCTCGGACCTACAAGCCTAATCTACAACGCAGTAAAGAAACGTTAAGAGATGTGATTGCATGGTAGCCAGTGACCAACAATAAGTTTGTAGACCACTTGTTCCATCCGAATTCTGGGATTCATGTGAACCACTGGTTTAGAACCACGGTTTTCCAACTCACCTAGGTCAATCCTCCGTACCCACTAGCTCAGTTTAGGGGCCAGGCAGTAAGTAGGACTCTCTTGATAGTGGCTATGTACGTGTGACTATTTGAGAGCGTTTAGAGAGGGAGGACCGACTTTCCCCACATCCGGTCGTACCAGGGCATTTGGCAGCATAAAGGTATACAGTGCAGTTTTTAGTCGGTTGTTCAAAGTTTATCCACGACTTTCATCCATAAAAAAAGATTTACGAGTTGACAAATTATTGTTATGGTTAACCTTAAATTCAATTTATTACAATTCAATTACGTTTAAGAAGATAGTTTCGCGGACAAGTGTAAAGTTCTAGTTTTCGGAACTGGGCAACTAACTCTCATAAGTAAGTTAAGATGTAGTTAAAGTCACTTCCAAAGTCTTGACATGAAAGCTGTTTACTGTAAGCTAACACTCATAACCGATTTGTTGGTTAGCTACCTAGGAACTTGATCTTCAAACCTTCTGCAATTTAAAACCTTTTCAACTTTCATTTATGATGAAAAGCTTATGATAGAGGTATATTAAATAAACTGGTAATTGATTGCTGAAATATGCGTAGTTTTGGCAATTATTCGAGTCAGTACTAAATTCAAGTTTAAGAAGGATTATAACAATAAATCTACTGTGTTTGTCTTACAATCTATGGGTAAATTAATTCATCCTCCTTCTAAATGTAATCAGGACACTGAAAATTTAAATGAGTGATCATAAGTACCTTGTGTAACAATTTGTGATTAGACATGAGAAAATCTAAAATGTTGCAAAACTGTAGGCCTCAGTGTACTGATTTAATTATGGAAGTGGTAGGAGCATAAATCACAATATCTCCTATAAACAAACCATGCGTAGACGTAGATTGGTCTAAATGATCGAATAACATCAGTAATAAATAATCAACAGGATGCAAAGGAGTCTGTGTGGACGTAAAAAAAGAGACTGAAGACGAACAACATGGTTTAGTAAAAGGAAATAGACTGGTCACATTTTTGGATAGACCTAATTAAATTCTACTAGCTTTAAAAACTTGTATAGAAAATTATTTTAAGTTCTAAGGCAATAAAAATAAATCCTGCACCTATCGTAAAATAAACTGGTAATAACGTTTGACTGCGGGACAATGCGCAACGCAAACACACGATGTGTTTCTTAGACTCTATCCATAGAACTCTAATGTATGTAGTGCGAATTTAAATATGGATAACTGATATAAGTCAATATCCTGTTACTAGTCTCAATAACAAGCTTGCAACTGCGACTAGTTACGATGGTTATACAGACAGATGAGAAAAAACCAGAAGTACAAAATGTTTATTGATAGGGTCAAGCAAGAATTTCGTACGCCTAAATGGAATAATGCAGAATGGATAAGCAGTTGTAGAGTTAAAAGTAGCCCAACTGCCAATGACTTCATGGACTGGTGCCATGTTTTGGTCTGGCCGTTCTCAGTTTTCTTCCAGTCTGCTCCTACACTAAACAGTCGAAATAGTTGGGCATGCGTAATACGTACTGAGAAAAAGAATATTTAGGTATGACGGTCGATTTACAGGCTTAAAGAGAAACTATTTGGCGACCATGATAAAACAGTTATAAACCTTTCGCCTCCCGTGAGATATTTAGGTGAAATGTCTTACTATTTACACAGTCTAATCGAAAAAAGAGATACTTTGATGCAATTTCGTATTTATTTTTCTAAAGTATGCCTGTATTTCCCTATTCTTGTTCAATTAGAAAATTAAATTTGTACACACATCTTACCTAAAATTGTGCAATGATGATCACGTCGAAGAACACATACACCACAGTCAAAACAATGGTGAGCACGAGGTGGTCGTAAGGTTTGACATGTAAGACAATACGTCCAATCTGGTCTCGACTTAGATGATAAAAATAATCCACGAATACTTGGGTCCTTAGAAATGCACATTGTAGCACTCCAACAGAAACAAACGTAGATAAACAATAAAATTCCGTATGCTAAGTATTTTCCATCGCCTAGTAAATATGGTAATACCAAATAGAGCTCGAAAAACAGCAGGTGACCGGCAAAAATTGCAAGCGCAGAGCGCGCTAAAACGTTTTTTAAAACTCTACTTTTAGAGATAGCTAGAAAACTCATTACTCAACAATACATCGCATTGAATATTACCGGTCGCAAGCAGACAACAAAGAGAGCGGATGCTATGGAGAAATATAAGACATGATTGTTTAAATTTAGACATGCATCTACACGGATAGAATGATTCTTGCCAGCTTAAACTTTGACTACGTTATTATTGGTCAATTTGAAAGTGCAACAATGACTAGCATTCTGTAAAACAGATATATTAATTTTCATTCTGAAAGTAGAAAATACATTCAACTATATCTGAATCGCCTCACGGTTTTGAAACATAGTTAACCTGTTGAGTACTGGTGGATGAAAAAGCCGGAATGGGGTTTTCGCGTTTTCCAATATCCAATATCTTTCTCACGAGCTCCGTTCTTGTTCTTTCGGTAAGGTCCCGGGTATTTGTTAGTACCCGATGAATGTGGGTCTAGCCACTTGGCTGTCCAATTGCACTAGCTGTAGCACAACAAATTCACTACTGATCTCGGCAAATCGCCAAATGAACCTAATGTGCACCTTCCTTATTTGTACTCTACTATTGAAAATATGGCTGTATTATACTGTTTCTGTCAGTGACATGGTGTAAATATGCTATCAGAAACTAACTCTTATACTTAATTTAACTGCTGTAACTTTTACAATAAATGTGAAAGCATTTGTGACAATTTGATCTAGCCTGTAAACTGTCGTGACTCTTGTAACGTAGTTATTTGAGAATAATAATAATATTATTATTAGAAGGGAGCATGTAACTGGCATCGCGCGCACCGAAGTAAAATTTGATAAGCTAAAAAATAATTCACCATAATGGTGTGGATATGCCGACGTCTTGGTGTTCCAACCATTGGTTTTCCAAGTATATTTGTGTAATGGATACCCTCGTCTGACGTCACGTTTCATTTGTTGGTTGAAGGATTTAACGTGATTAATTGTATTGATGTCCAACATCAGCAGATGGCAGTTATATGGTGTAGTCCAAATAATCTTTCTAGAGAACCGATACCTACGAATATATTGACGGACATATTTATCTCTCGTGTTTATGTTTCGTGGATATTATTCAAATACACGAACTAGGTGAACGATAAATGCTACTTTATGACTGTTTCAGCCTTAAATAACAGGGTAAGATAAGCCTTCAAAATGCGAGCTGACCCTAGAAATCCTTAGCAATTCATATTAATCTACTCGCCGATATTCTGTTATATTTTTAAGATCTAAACGAGTAACTCGAATGCTTTGAAATTACACCTTACATCATCTCTTAAGATACCGCACAAGACCTGCATATTGCAGTATTGCTGAATGCTTTATTAAAATCAGTAACCAACAAATTGACACGAATATCATTAACTTGAATTGCTATGCAGTACTTTCCATAGTGGGGTCTGTAACTTAAGAGCTGATTTCACGATTACTCATTTCTCGATCATCGGTGTATTATGCAATTGTTTTTGATGATTCAGCCTTTATCAAACTATTTCCCGAGGGCATGAATGACTTCACTGGTTAATCTGATAGGTCAGTGCTGGTAAACTAGATATCTATTTCAATTTTGAAAATAAGACAACCTTCAGCTATCCGTAAGTCAATTTGAACCTGGTCCTAAGAGAATAAATATAGCAACTCTGTAGGTGGTTCGAATGGATACATGTATGGAACAGCAACGTTAAATAGTGTATAGATTGTCACGTCTAACTTTTGTTCCAGTCGGTTTTTGAAGTGTGGATAACTAATACATTCGTATATCAAGAACTCAGATATCTGTTTTGGGAACCAAAGTTTATTCGTAAACAGCGAGTAATCAATATGAATATAACTTTCTAACAATAATCATGACAAGTCTGACAACAGACCTACTTTTAGCTTCGCAGAGTGAAAACTTCAAGAAAAGCAGACCAAAGGAGCGAAACCGAAAATTGTCAAAACCGAAAGTATGGACAAACAAGTCTGAGTAAAACGAATAAATCCGAAATTAGTAAAATAATGAAATTCATTGTAAAAGTTTACATTAAAATACTGCGAAATGTCCCCTTAACAGCGGACAGATGACTTGCCATGTTTCGGATTATTGTAACTTTGTGATCCTGATTCCTTCGTGGTAAATACTTGTCGTAAAGATATCAATAGTATGTATATGTTTTTCGTTAGCGTTATCATCTTCAGAGGCTATCACATTTCAGAATGCTAATAAACTTCTATGCTTTTTTGAGACCAACTTGTAGCCAAACTGCCATTCTACGGCGATTAGGGGACTCTATTTTTTAAATTCACTTTTAATACAAGTTAACAACCAGTTCAATGCGGTTTAAATACCTTGTACCAACATTCCATGCGCTAGACGAGTACTAGCAGTGACACTGATTCATTTTTTCCTGGGTGGAAAGACTTAACTTGACCAATTCATATCCAGATAAGATCTAGTACCGTCAGCGTTCCTAACAGTAGATTATACCATGAATTGAGATAGAGTATACTATGTTGGGTTGAACTGTCACTTTTTATTTGGTCTTGGACTTGCCCTAATATTTCGAAGGAACTCCGGCAGGAAAATTATGCACGTTTAATTCACTAATTAGCATCCATGAACTCAGCAAACGATTGTTTTTCATCAATTTTTCAAAGCCAAGACTATCAATTATAGTTTCCTTTTGCATACACTTTGTTTCGACTGTGTATAGACTTTCCGTCATCAATATAATCTGGGGGACTGAATGCTTGTCAGACAACTTCAATGAGCCAACATGAGCCACACAAACGTTTTTAGTGATTCAGAGATCGATGTTTTGCTCTTATTTCCAAGAGGGTGTAAAGATCCTAAGGCAAGCGCGTACTTTGAAGGTTGTACCTTTTATTCAAGTGTTTTATCTTTTTCGTTGTCCGATCGTTTTACTCTAGTTCAACGGGGCATATAAAATCATCTCTTACAACCACTCCTTGGTTATTCTTATTTTAGTCATTTTCGCTGTAGTTTTTGGCTTCATAATTCCAAACAGACATTGTGCTTATAGTAACAAAACTTTTCTTACAACTAACTCCACAAACATGCCACATTTATCTAAAAAACACTTGATTTCACCTGTCGAATATAACACCTGTAAAAGATCCAAATCCGCTACTAAATTCAATAAAATCAAACGTAAGAGCAGTGCTCCAGCCGTATCGTCTTCTGATCTTCCTACTGGCTTAATAGAATCTTACCGTGAACTTGAAACTGGCATCCCTGGAACTTGTATCCCGCTCGTTGATATAAATACAACTAACCTCCTTCCGAGTGACACGACACCATCCACTACTTCTTGTGTTTCATCTGAAATAAATTCCTGTGAGCACTTGTTAGAAAGTGTGGCTGGTCTTAAACACTTGACGAGCCCGCAAGCGGATCAAGTTTGTAGCAATCCGAAAAATGTCTCTAGGCCTTTCCGCCATAGGAAATCCAGTACTGTTGATCTGGACTGTCCTCTCTCTGATATGTTCATTACGCCGGATGACTTTACGCAGACTGAGCAACCGCAAAACACTTGTAGCAAGTCTGTTCACTATCCTATTCACCCTAACAGCGGCGAACTGAACTCCAGTACATTCACCACTCATAGTTCTAAGGACACCTTAAGTGCACTCTATGTCAACGAAACCATTCAGGATTTACTACCTCACAAATACCTGGTCAGTGTTCCAGAAAATCCTGATCTCGAAATCATTAGAAAAACGAAATGGTAATTGACCATATATCCTCTGATGTGTTAAAAAGACTTCAGTGCATGCAGAATGCCATTATTTATAACGTACCTGACAGTGCTAGCCTAAAGTCTGTTAAAAACACTCTCCTTAAAGAGTGTGGATTGTCCCACTCTTGGTGGGCTACGCAAAGTTCAGACTAAATTTTCCTTTCCCATTCTTCCTCAGTTTAGTACTATCATGGAAGCCAATCACTTCATTAATTTTCAGTCCCTGCTTAAACACATTCCACTATTTAAGAAGATTACAATTATCCGGGATAGAACTACAATACAACTCCGAATTACCAATGGCCTTCCAACTATGCCGACCGATTCGTGCACTAGTAACAGCTACAATCACGAATGTCACATTTAAAGGAGGGTGGAGTTACTGACCAGCAAACATTGATGGTTTGGGCGATGACTTCAAACCACCCATGTTTGTGGGGCAGAAAATTTTGTTTGCTTTCGGCTCTTCAGATTGATGAGGCGACTAATCAGTAATACTGAGGTTGCTCTTATACGCTTTCTACTTCTGAGGTTCATGTTTCCAAAACTATGCTGAGGTCGCTATTCTGTCTAGACACCCGCAACATTCTTACTCAGGCGCTTACAGTATGACTTGGAGGTTGGCACTCGATAATAATAATGTAAATAAACAGTTAGACAGTGAGAACTTTTAATCATCAATGTTTTCTTTTTACAAACTTTACTCTTTCGATTTCAACGTACATAAATCCAGCTTCTCACTTCGACTTCTCTTCTATCCACCTGACACTGCACAACTCTTCCTTCTTTTTTGCCGTACTCCTTTATCTGTGGGTTGTATTCTTATATTCCCATAATTTACTTTAATTTAAGTGGTCAGTATGAATTTTATCTTGACTTACTACTTTATTGACTACTTCGACATGATAGCTTAAGTAGTTCTTTAGTTATATATATACACTTGCCACACTGCTGCCTTTTGCTCTCTCGCTCTCTTTTCTCCTTTTCAGAACCCCATTCATGGTGGGAAATCCTTGGCGACTCTAGGGAACATGCACCCTATGTACATGACTGTCTAGATCATAGCTCGTATCAAGCGCGTTCCATTTGACCTTCCCCAACAAATTCACGATTGATCTCGGCAAATCGCCAAATGAACCTATTGTGCACCTTCCTTATTTGTACTCTACTATTGAAAATATGGCTGTATTATACTGTTTCTGTCAGTGACATGGTGTAAATATGCTATCAGAAACTAACTCTTATACTTAATTTAACTGCTGTAACTTTTACAATAAATGTGAAAGCATTTGTGACAATTTGATCTAGCCTGTAAACTGTCGTGACTCTTGTAACGTAGTTATTTGAGAATAAATACACTATTATTATAAGAGTATCTTAACAATGAATCCTATGAATCTGCTCCAACCGAAAGTGTTAAAAGGGTCACACCTCTATTATTGCAAGCGTGAAGCAAGATCAGATTGGAACATTCCATTGGGTCCTTTGTCAATGGGTCTCAGATGATGGATGGCTTTGAACGTTACTAGAAGACACCTGTCGAATTGATGCATGATTTGAGTTATTTTAAAGACAGTTATTTACAGCCTTTGATTTGAAGATGAACCAAAATCACGGTAGAACGCCCAAAAATCGTTTATAAATCTTAGTCTCACCATTACCTTTTAACTGTTAACTGTTCATACGTTTCTATTAATTTTTCCAGATAATAAGAGGGTTAGAATCCATTTGCAAATTTTATGGCGACGCATAATCAACGAAATGAAGCTTAAACTAATGTAAGCGATCAGGTAAATTTAGTGATAGACGATTGGCTGCTAGTGCCTGTGTTTTCGACTCAAACGAGAGTCAGACTTAGTGTACTTTATTTAAGCATTCAGAAAAATATTTTATGATCGGTGATATTGACAAAACGAAAGTTATATCTATAACTGAAAATCAAACAAGAGTTCGATAACATATAAAACAATATTCGAAAGAGAACGGTTATCACTTTATTGTGAAGTGTGTAGCGTAATGAGAATACAGTCTCAATAACTAAAGTTACGAAATGAAATAATATCAGAGACCATCTCAGCTTGGCTTCTGTTGATAAAACATCGTTTTTTATTGGAAAACCTAATGGAAGGGCACAAAACCAAGAAGTGATCTCACTGGAAGGCAATAATTATCAAAACAAGAAAGATGAAATATTTGTTAATTTCTTTTGTCTTTGTAGAATAATTACAGAAGTTTCCTCGACAGTAGCATACAGTTCTCCGCATTCCAGCACCACCAACTGATTTAAAACAACCCACACCATATCCTTCCGGGATAGCAGCACATGTACGTGATACAACTACAGCAGCCAACAACGGTACACCAAGTTGTGGTCGAACTCTCCAACTTTTTGTAACAATTTTAGCGCAACCGTTGTAATTTACATTTTCACACTTCCCATAATTTTCCGAATCGATAAGTAATTTGATTGCTGAACGATTTACTCGTTCAGAACATAATCTTGATACTTGTAAAGCAGTCAGCCCACTTCGTATTTGATTGCCATTACTTGACATACTAGTCCAACCGCCAACTACCGGTTTTCCACCAAACCATGCCAATCCGGTCCCTGGTCCAGGACGAAAACCAGAATTCTCCGACAAACTTGCATAGTTATCACAAGTAAAACAACGTTGGGTTTGCTTTACAATTCGGTTATTTGAATACTCCGAAAAGTTTTTCTTAGTTACATAAGCTAATGTTATGAAAATGGTCACAACCAGCCAACAGCATGCTGAATAAGTATGCTTTAAATTAAGTTGTAAAAAACAAAATGCAACATAGTTCATCAAGTTAAAATTAAAAAACCATGTTTGTTGATGCTACCATTCAAAATCAGATAGTATGCAGACAGCTAGTAAGACAGATTTCACATACACAGACTGGCTATCCGAATTAGTTTTATTTTGGCATTAGTTAGAAAATTACGGTGCACTAATTATCTAACCTCATCTGAAAATGTTTTATGCTTTTATTTTGACTGCCTTCTTTATCAAAAAAGTGGATCTAAAAGATGTTTTGGAGCAGTATTAAGTAAGTGGAAAAAACACTTGCATTCACTTGAGTGCCTTTTTTAAAAACGAATGAATTATCCGTGAAGCTACTTGTAAAATCCAAAAGTTGTGGCAATGTAAATAGATATGGGTTAAAAGAATCTTCTCAGCTGGATATGTCGGTCTACGTCTGACGAAAATCTCTGTATAACTGCATGGAAAACGGTACAAGGTGATATGAACAAGTGGTGATGGATCGATGAACGTGAAAATCTGGAAAATGCTTTATATAGCAAGTACAGTTACTATTCTCATAACAAGCTTGTAAGTCCAACGAGGAACAGTATGCTAATGAACATTAGGAGTATTCGATAAATGTGCACGTGATTTGACATCTTCACATATTAAGTTTCAGTTGCTCTTGTCTTACCTGAAGCTAGATCCCTTATGGCTTGGACAGAGTTAAATTAACCCTACTGTATTTTTTGAAATTCGACATGGTCAAACTACGAAATATTTTAACAGCTTATGACTCGCTAGAAATGTTAATGTTGATCCTTGAAACTAAGACCTGTATTAAAGATACTGAGAACAGCAAGTAAGTAAGGGTCATACTTCTTCGACTCCCAGGGATAAGTTACCACAAAACATCAAGTCCACAAAAACTTCAGTCCCCGTTAAACTATCATCTGGATAGATCCAGAGTTTGTTACTTGAGTCAAGCTGCACTAATTGATGGGGAAAACAACATATCACCTGACTAACTAAGCAAATAAGCACCATAAACCATCACATAAGGTGAGTCCCTTCATGGTTGATCCTCTATTAGTGTGCCACTTTCATCAGATATTCCACCTTTCGGCGATTGACTCTTACTTCCCTATTTATTTTCTTATTTTCTTTGTATTACTTCACTCTTCTACCCAGCAATTTTTGATCGTCACTTTTCTTTCTTGAAAAGCCCATACTTTACCTCATGCTATTATGCGATACTGTTCCAATATTTTACAAGCGATGTGCTCAAATAAACTACCTGTGGAATTAGAGTTCTTTAGCAGGATCTGGGACATAAAGCCTGAAACGAAAAATATTTTCGGTCCGACATTACGTTTAGAATAGCCTTGGATCAAAAAAGGAGGGAAGATGAAGTTACTGAACTGTAAAAACTGATAACGAGGGCGACTTGTGTGGAGTAGGCAATTTCGCTCGTTATAGGCTATTCGTCACTGGCGACGGGAAAGCCATCTTTCAATGCTTGTGTTGTTCGCTTGTGTCTGGCCCTCAGAAAGAGCGATTTAAACAAATTAGTCGGTTTGTAGGGATGAGTTGTTCGAAGACTAATGAGGTTTTAAACGAGACTCGAGACCTTGAAACTACCGTTCACAGCGTGATGAATAGGGAAGCAATTATATTACCCTCCGTGGACTGACAGGGAAATCAGAAGAGTGCCTCGGCATATGAATCAGTTTTGGAAACAGGCTCGAAAGAATGGCCAAGACTAATTTAGGAGTGGATACCGAGGTTAATGTCAGTCCCAAGCCAGGATAAAGTGGGAGTGTTGAGCACGGCGTCGGCGACTCCATACCACAAAAATCTAACTCGCCAAAAAATGCTAACCAGAAAACATAATTCAAACCAATTTAACTCCGCTCTGGGAGTTAGAAGGTCTTCCTTCAGAAAAATTATGACGTTCTCTCGATATTCACGAGGCCGATGCTCCAGAGCAACTATATTTTAGGTACATAGAATTTTTGAACAATGTGTGGAACCGGAACACTGTCCCACGTTGCTGCAGAGGTTAAAAGATGCAACCTGGAGGTGCTTGAGACTAGCGAAGCACATTGAATGGAAGTTGCACAACTAAGACTAGATTCAGGGGAACTACTGTTATACTCTAGTCATGAAGTGGAAAATGCTTCACATAGACAAGGAGTTGCACTGATGCTATTCAAACAAGCACGAAAGGCACTTATGCAATGGGAATCTCATGGATACAGGATCATCAAAGCATCCTTCAAAACATATAAAGAGGATACTACAATGAACGTCATCCAATGCTATACACATACCAATGTCTGGAATTAAGACGTTAAAGATCAATTCCACGAGAGGCTGCAGTCATTTGTCGAGAGACGCTCACCAAAGGATTTGATGGTTCTGACGGGAGACCTCATAGGAGACATCATGGGACGACATGGACTGGGAAAAAGGACCGAAAACGGTGAGAGATTTGCAAAACTATGTGCCTTTAACAAACTGGTCATCGGCAGCACAATATTCCTGCATAAACCAATACACAAAGCTACATGGATTTCACCGCATCACACTACTCACAACCAAATCCACCGTACCCGTATCAATAAGAAGTTCAGAAGGACCATAGAGGACGTGAGAACCAAAAGAGGAGCTGATATGGCCTTACATCACCAATTGCTGGTAGCCAAAATGAAAGCGAAACTCAAAAAGCACTGGATAACGGGGCGAACGACATCTCAAGAGTTTGATACTGTCTTTCTTTGGGATACCGTGAAACTCGACGAATTCAAGATAGCCACCAGTAATAGGTTCCAGTCTAATCAATGAAGAAGAAAAAACCATGGAGAAAAATTGGAAAGCGATCAAGGAGGCAATCACTTCAACATGTCATGAGGTTCGGGGCCAAAAGAAGTACTACAACAAGGAATGCATCTCTTTTAGTACTCTTGATAAAATTCAAGAAGCGAAGAACAAAAAGGTGGAAATCAACATCGGCCGAACAAGAGCAGAAAATGCCAAGGCACAAGCTGAATACACAGAAGCAAATAGGGAAGTGAAGAAGAGCATCAGAGCTGACAAACGAAAATATGTGGAAGATCTAACAATGACGGCGGAAAAGGTTGCAAGAGAAGGAAACTTGAGACAGTTGTGCGATACATGAATGAAGCTCACTGGAAACTATCGTAAACCAGGGCGACCAGTGAAACGCAAGTAAGGCAAAGTAATCAGCAACACTGAAGAACAGTGAAACAGGTGGGTATGGCACTTAAAGGAACTCTTCAACCGACCCACCACTACGAACCCACCCAACATCGAGGCAGCATCCACGGACCTCGCAAATAATGTTGACCTACCAAAAATTGAAGAGATCAGTATGTCCATCAGAAAAATCTAAAGCGGCAAAGCAGAAGGACCAGACAACATTGCAGCAGATAAACTGAAAGCATGTGAAGCAGTGAGTGCAAAGACACTTCAGATTTTCTACAACAAGATTAGGGATGAAGAACAAGTACCAACAGACCTTACAGAAGGATACCTCTTCAAAATACCAAAGAAAGGCCATCTCAGCAAGTGTGAGAAGTATAGAGGCATCATTCTTCTGTCGATACCAGGCGAAATCTTCAACAGGGTATTGTTTAACAGAATGACGGACTCCGTAGGCTCCCAACTTCGTGATCAACAGGCTGGGTTTCGTAAGGATCGATCGTGTACCGACCTAATTGCAACAATATGGCTCATTGTGGAGCAATCAATTGAATGGAACTCACCACTCTTCATCAACTTCATGGACTATGACAAAGCATTGATATCGTGGACAAGAAAACACTATGGAGGCTTCTTCGATACTACAACGTCCCTGAGAAGGTCGTCAACATCATACGGAATTCTTATGATGGATTAAACTGCAAAGTCATGCACGAAGGACAACTCACAGACTCATTTGAGGTGAAGACCAGTGTCAGGCAAGGTCGCTTACTCTCAACCTTTCCCTTCCACGTGGTGATCGACTGGATTAGGAAGACGTCTACATTTAGGGAGAAGCACGGTATCCAATGGACAGCCAGGATGCAACTGGACGATCTAAACTTCGCAGATAATCTGGCTCTTCTGTTGCACGCGTAACAGCAAATGCAAGAAAAGACGACCAGTGTAGCATCATCCTCAGCAGCAGCAGGTCTCAAGAAAGGCTAAAGAACACAATACGCCGAGAAATAGAGAAAGATATGCGAAAAACGAACAAAAATTGGACAGAACTAGAAAAGGAAGCCCAGGACTGAGTATGTTGAAGAATACTGGTCGGCAGCCTATGCTCCATTGGGGGTAACATGGCGTAAGTAAATAAGTAAGTAAGTATGAATTAAACCTTTCCAACAACATGAAATAGTTGATCACACTTCAAACATCGTAAAGAATGCAGTAAAAATAATTAAAAATAACTCAAAAGGCAAACAAAGTTTGAGTATATACAAGCAACTGTAGAAAGAACGATACATATAGAGAAAAAGGAATAGTCATCTCATAAAACAAACATGGAGGGATTTTCTTACATATTCTCATATGGAAATACATTGTTAAACTCCTAATGTTAATAATCTATTGGACAACCATAATTCTACAACTCGAATCTTTTTATAGAATAGACTATTCAGTAAAACAACTTGAAGTTGATAGATGATATTCGGTTAGTTTGAATGTAAATAAATAATTGTGGACTACTTTAATAAGATACTGAAAGGACTAAATGTATGTTATGGTTTTCAAACTAAGAAATATTCGTGATAATTTTCATAAAGTTAGTTCCAACCTTATGAGCACTGGTAACTAGGAAGTTCAGTTAAACATCACTGAATCCTGGTCAGATTATTGATCAAGATGAAAGCATTCATACTTTAGCACGCTTTTTACCGAATGTCGACTGGTTTATAGAACGTCGTCAAGGTCAATATCTATTTACACTGATCGATCAACCGGTGAAATGAGTTGGGACATGCAGTGGTGTGGTCACACTCCATAGCTTTATAATAATTTTTTTACTTGATAAACTATTTTACTCTTCCTGATGTTAGTCCATGATGAGAGGTTTTCTAATTTTACAAGAGCAGCAAGGAAATAGCATAGTCTAACTATGAGGTAAGAGTAAGACCGGATAGATAATGACTGTATGGCGAAACTTCATTTTAAGATAGCATATTTGGCAGTTGCACTATTTTTTTCAACTTGAGTGCATGAAATCTATTAGTTGTGTGAATAAAGTAAGTAATCAAATTACATGATTTGTGTTCAACTATGCACAAACTCAATAATTAAAACAACTGAAACCAGTCAGTGAAGAATAGTACCCACGCATTAAAGACGAATCATCCGAAATTTTAAAAGCTTAACACAATCAACCATGAGTAATATGATATTCTAAATAATAATGATAATAATATTCAAAATAATCAACTTTTATGTTCAGTGGTCGGTTAAGACGACATTATTAACACCGATTTCAAACAGAAGCGAAAGTTACAACACGCAAAAAGCATTTTGCATATAGAAACCATCGTGAAAGTAATAACTGCATAATTTCAAGCTGTCTGATGATGAAACTAATAAACCACTCAGCTCAGGGAATACAATAATACATTGAAATCACGAATGAGTCATTGTTAGACCACCATTAGGAACCTGGAAGTACCGAACGACCGTTTCGTCCTGGTTTACGGGACTCATCATCACGACTCCTGGATTCGAACCCAGGACCTTCGGCCATGTGCACAAATGCTTAACCATCGAAACACTGAGCCGACATCTAACAATGTTAATGTCTACTAACTATGATCAATCTAAGGATTTTGCGCCACCTCATGATTTCAATGTAAAACAACGATCTCCTTAACTCTAAAATGCGGAAATGTGTACACTGGTGACTAGCTTCCTGAGGAAATTCTCAAAGTCCTAGTTAGAAGACGGGACCAGTAGAGTTCAACCCTATCAGGTGTAGGCAGTAACTACCAAAGATAAATGGGTAAGGTTGCGCAAAATCATTAGACGGACCACAGTTAGACATTAACACTGTTGGATACCGGCTCAGTGGTCTAGAGGCTAAATGTTCTCGTGTGAGACTGAAGATCCTGGGTACGATTCACGCGAGTGATTGGGCATAGATGCACACTGCCACTGAAGAGTCCCATACTAGGATCAAACAGATGTCCAGTGCTTCCAGGTGTCTAATGGCGGTCTAACAATCATTCATTCATGATATAAATGTAAAGTAACGATCTCCATAATTTTATAACGCAATAATACAATGTTACCTAAAACATTCATCTTATTTACAAATATCCGCCATATTTGCATGTTCACAAATACATACAAATTGTGATATCTGGTGTTATATATATATATATATATATATTTGTAAGCGGTAACATTTAAAATCTTAAACATTCACAATGGAAACTTACAATTTTAATCAATTTTCTTTGTTGATGTTGATTACGGATCACTAAATTTGTATCAGAATATCGTTTCCTATAATAAGTTAAGAAATTGAATGAATTCACAATAGTTTGAGCTTGTCTTAGATTATTAGTACATTCATTTTGAGTTTTGTAATCATCATCAACAGCATCATCATCATCATCATCATCATCGTCAACATCATCATCATTGACTACAACATACTCCATTTTGAAATAAATTGAATTTGAGTTATATTCAGAATATATATATATATATATATATATATATATATATATATACAGGTTGGTATGTTTTTTTTTAAAAATTTCAAATGAACATGTAACCTAATTTATTCAATGTACAAATGTACATTGTTTAATTATCACATTGATAAATTTATATCGGAGAGATGAACAAATCAACATGATTATTTGTTTTGTTATTATATATGTGAGTATAAAATGTGTTTATTAAACTGGCTTTATTTTCATTTTTATTTTTGAAAATTGAACTTGAAATATTATTGGAGTATGAAGTGTATCTAAGATAATAAATGAATTTGATTTGAAGCGAATATGCAGATATATGTATATATATGTATATATATCTGCATATTAGGCGTACATATTTGTGGTGAATCAGAGAATATTCAATGTTTTCTGAAATTATAAATACAGAGAGACAGAGAGAGAGTAGAGATAGAGAGAAAGAGAGAAGGGTTACGAAATGGTTAGAAATATCAATTTTCTAAATGTAAATGAATATTAGTTTCAAACAAATTTTTCTTAGAAAAAATGTGTTTTTTTTATAAAATATATTTATAGATAGCAGCCAATTTTTTTTTCATTTCAATAAGAAAATTCCATGAAAAACAAATTCTGTTCAGAATAACCTACATTATTATGAATATTATTTACTAAAGTTTGTTACCCTTCATGTAGCAGTATAGGCCACCAACCAGGGTATTCCAATCAATTCTATCCTGGGCTCATTTTTCCAGTTCTTACCAAGTGCTAATCATTCTATTCATGTCTGTCTCCTATTCTCGGTACATTATGTTCTTTGGTCTGCCTGTATTCGTTTGGCCTAAAGTACTCATGTTATAGCTTTCTTTGTAATGCAGTTGGGTAAATTCCGCATAATGCATCTTATCCACCTCTAGCACTTTTTTCTAATTTCTTCCTTTGCTGAAATCAGGTAAGTGTTCTTCCACAGTATTTTATTGCTGACAATGTATCAGGAGTATTATGTGTTGACAACTGTTTGCTTGCATATACGAAAACTATCAAACTAGCTGAGATGATTTTTGAATTACTGGTTATATAATGGGCATAAGTAAACACTGATGATACGACAGCAGGTATACTAGTGAAGATGTGGATAAAAACAAAATCATAAAAGTTTCAACCGGTAGTTCTACAAAGGAAGTAGGTCAGAACTTGAGGAGATAAACATCCAAGTATTAATAATTAAAAAGAACTGAAACTACATAATAAGAAAGATTTAGATTAATCAGTCTGGACTACGTAGCTAAATGGAAAACGGGATGGTTTATGAAGGGTACAGTACTGGATTTAAGTCCTGACGTCAACCTCACCTCTGAGAAGCTGGATCACCCAACTACAGTAGCGTCCTAAGCAGAACGAAACGCCCGTCCTGGATTTCAATACCAGCCATATTCTCTCTTTTATATATGAATATTGTGAATTATATTTAAGTGTCTTTAGACCAATGAAAGTTAATTCATATACGTGGAAATTTTATTTGATCGGGATGAATAGAGGAAAGAATATTCCAAATATTACAACATTGTCTCGAATGTCACAAGTTCGATACTAGAGCAACACATACAATTATTGAATTATTTTTTTCTGGTTAGCGTTCTTTTAGTGAGTTAGTTTTTCCATGGGATGGGGCCGCCAACCCCATGCCCAACTCTTCTCCTTTATCCGGGCTTGGGACTGGCAGTAGCCCCTGCAGGGCTCCAGGTGGAGTTAAACACACACACAATTAGATAAACAAATTGATAATATTCAATTCTCATCCTTTATATAAAAAAAATCGTCAAAACTCAAAAGATATGATGTGATTTAGAAATTATACGAAGAAACCAAACAATTATGAATAAATCCCATGTTTTTTTCGTTTTTTATTGTCATATAGTGTCTAACCGTTGAGTATGTCAGTGAAGATGATGTTTTATTGCCTAAGTAAAGTGATTAATATTCCAAAACTCTATCTACTCCCGATTTAGTGCTATAATTATCCCATCATATCGCCGGTAGGGTTCTCACAATCACCATGGTTGATACATCATTTTAAGAATTAGTACTTTTAAATAACACATTATTCAAGTGTCGATGAAATCAATATGTTCTCCATTTTAGTAAAATGACTGTTAATTCTATACTCACTATTTCTTCTCTTTCTTACTAATCCCTATTTTATATATCAGCTATACTACTTACTATAATTCAATAGCTTATGTTATTTTCAGACATTTCAGGTGTAGATTTTGATGTCTGTCAGTAATAACGTATTGATTTCTTGAGTATTTATTAATATTATTGACATTTAGTTCATTTGAATATTCTGATTGCATTATTTTGTCATTCTTTTGAAAGTTGTTTATATGTAACAACTTTAATATTACATAATTGTTTGTCCTTCGGGTTGACTAACGTTGCTGATATGAAACAGCTTCCTGTATTATACAAATTCATCAAAGATTTTCGAAATAATTTTCTCATATAACTGTTTACGGGAAAAACGTTCCACTGATCATGACTAAAAGTTTTACTAATACCATAGGTACTTCATGGTTCGTTTTTTGGTGAATCTTGTTATAACCGATGTTTCTGATGATTTCTGACTACATTGTGCTGTGCGAACCTCTTATTCACGAGCACTACTTGGGTAAAATCGGAATGTAACAATCACAACAGAAAGAGCATTCAAAAACGAGCATGAGTGTGATATGTAAAGAAACTTGTTGAGGCAAAATACGACAAACAAACTTAATCCAAAATATGCGCGAAATAAGCTTTCTATTGAAGGAAAAGTGTGCAATATTTCCAAACACGCCTGATTCACTTGAAATGGTTTGGATTATCCTGCTGTTGATGTTATGACTGAAATTCTGTCAGTCTTTGTTGTCATATGATCATCCTATGCATATTGCTTAGATATAGCCATTATGACACAAGTTTATATAGAATAGACAGAATGTAACTAACAGTGGAATCCAGGACGCACGTTTAGTTCTGTTTGGAACTCGTCAGCTGGAAAAGTGAGTGGCCATCTGGACTCAGTAACTAAGTGATTAACGTAATGGCGTTCTAAGTGAGCCCCAGAGTGATGATCATTCTGAGATGCAGTTACGTTCCACTCCCAGACACATTTTATCCATTATATGTATATATATCTTAATCCACACAAAATAAACCGAAAATGTGCCGATGTTACGATTTTAGAGATAATTTCAGTTACAAACAAGTTATTTGCCATATTCCATACATAATACTGATTTCCTGTTATTAATACTAATCTTTCCAGACACATCTTTCATTTTGATTTCAAATTTAATGTTACGCTGTCATTTGTCCAAAACCTTTAAGAGCGATTCAGTAACAACTCACTCTCTATTTCATAATAATCACAATAACGTAAAAAAAAGATTTCATGATTTACTAAAAGCAAGTTGTGGGTGATTATTTCCGAATAGCATAAATTGTGTGAATGATACTGTCTAGAAATTGAGCAGTATGAGGAAATTGGGATTTTCTCAAATGAAGCATAAATCAAAAGCGATGAAGTTGATTGTGTTTCTCTAAAAGACATAATAACCACTGGTTACATTATTTGATAGTTAAATATAGCAATCGCTTTATTGTAAATACGGTAATCTACTATATCCGTTGTAAAAGAAACTTTTTAGCAATCACAAGCTTTTAGTGAAACGAGATAGTTAAAAGGACTGAACGGTCGCCCGCAGGATTACCTTTCGCTATTTCTAGCCAGACATGAAGCAACCACATATTGTCATAATATCACTCAGTAAGGAAGAAATGTAATGTGGCAATAGAAGAGTCATTTCGTATCTGCAGAAGTATATGATCTAAATGCAAAAATCTCATCATCGTAGTTTATGCTTCGTAAAATAATCAAGCACAATGACATCTATGAAAGCTGACACCTGGTATAAGAAATTGGTGAGTGTAGAGAATAAATGAAAGTTGGAGAAGTACACTACGCCTGCGTTACCAAGATGTGTACACTAGCTTATCTTAACCCACCAGCTCAAATTAGATTATTGTATGTAGCCATGCGTTTAATGAAACTGGAGACTTTAAACCTAGAAATTCACAAAACATGTTGCGTTGCCTCCCAGAAATTTTCAGATTCACTGAAAAGGAAAGAAGATCATTCAGATGGATTTGAACGGCTATTAACTGATATTCCTAGCTGACTGAATTGCAGACTGGATATAATGTGGTTAAGTACATAATATTTGTAATTGTTAGAGTCTGGTAAGATCGATAGAGCCCTTCGACTATAATAGTATCAGCTGATTATCAACAAATTTGCAAGAACAAAGCATACCTGTTACTGAGTTGCAAGTCACTTCTGCTTTGCATCGACTGAAGGGTTTCCATCTGATCATATACTATTATTAGGGGTTTAATCGGTAAATGAATACTCGAAACAGGTGACCCTAAATGTTCTCGACACTGTTATTGAGTTTTTTATTCCCACTGGACCTTTTACAACCAAAATCTTCCAGTCACGCATCCGCACCACACCCCCATTGGGACTGTCGTACAACTCATCTCTCGTAACGACTAGTCAGCTAAAAAATACATTTCTTGACATGCAGATCATTTACTGAATATGCCTTCTAAGCACTTCATTCATGACTTCTGGTTTGACTGGGTTTGGAATCTTTGATTTTGAAGGTGTTAAGGAAATAGGCTTATGTAATCTATAAACATCGGTAAGATTTTTGAACTCGTAGAAGGAGGGATAAATTAAGCTTTTGGAAACTATTTTATGGAAGATCACTTCCTATCTAAATCCTACTAGGTAGAATGTCGTACTGACACAGACTTTCTGTGATAATGAAGAAACCCTTTAAGTACAAGTAGCTTGTCTTTATAAAAGCCCTAGACTTCTTTGGGGTTGTAACAGACTATATCGGAAATGGTAACATTTGAAGACGAAATTTGCG